TCTATTTCTCGGACAGAGTCAAATCCATTCCCGCTCGTATTACTTCCATTACTTGAGTCTCTCTCATAGCCATTAGCATTAATCACCTCTTCTGGCCCTCGACTGCTTTGCAGTAGATCCAACAGACTGCCGAGTTTTTCCTCTTTTCTTAGAAACTCTAAGACAATTTGAAAACTTATGAAACATTTTCCTTGTTTTCTCCAACACTCAGTCTCAGCGTGGTTAATCTTTCCGCAGTATCCACCATTTGCGCGAGAAGTGACGGCTTGACCAGTTTGAGGTTTTCCTTTGTATTTCTTCTCCAGTTCTCGTTCTGGTTTAGCAACTCAGTTTTCTCTGTATATTCTTGTTTGCACCGTCCTTCCCAATAGTCAGCCAATTTCCTCTGAAATTCTACCTCATTTCGAAGAATATCCATTTCCTTATGCATTTCTTCCAAAGTTGTCATCTTATCAGTTGGTTTAAATCAAATGCTAGCCTTCCAGGTAAATCAAAGGATCAAAATAAGTAGCTATCCACAATGGAATCTCTGGCCATGCCACTCTTTCATTATTTGACTTATAGGTTACTTCAACTTATAAATCTTACCTGTTCTCGGCTTAACATGGACGGGCTCTCGAGTCTCTACAAGATTACTATCATTGCTTCTAAACATAACAAAATACGGAGATCTTATTCCTTAAAAGTTCCACACCCTAATTCACTCTCCATACTCAATTACAAAGTTGCTTGAGAAGATACCCCAACCTCTTGCTTTCACTAGCACCTTATTTTATTCCCTCAAATCAATTCTACTATTTTGAGAATAGATCTTCCATGAAACTTAGATAGGCGAACTTCGAGAATCATTCCACTTTCACACCTCTCTTGATTCTTAGGTTGGCTTATTGGTCTAAAGCTTTGGTGCTCAACCAACCATGCTAGGACATCAATCGTACAGTCAATAGCAGTAGCTACGTGATTGTTTTCTTTCGTTTCTAGGATTTTGGTTCGGTCTAGTAGTCGTTCTCTAACCATCCCTTGAGCTTGGGGTTACTTAACCCCTCACGCTCGGTCTTTTTCCACTTCTTTGGCCACTCATAAATTTAACATTTATAAAGGCATAACATAAAATGAATGCACATCAATGAAGTTTGAAAAGTGACATTTTGATCATGCCAACCAAATACAAGAATAAAAGGGAAGACACCGAAATAATCATAAATGTGCACAACCCAATCATAGATTTGAAATCATAAAGCAATAAAGTCAAGTATCTCATGAGTAACGTTTAATTGTTTCAAAAAGATAGGAAACATAGTAAAATAAAATACAAAATGCAATGGCCTTTAAACGAGCACCACCCCGTCTATCTTTGACAAAGCCGTTAAAGTAGAGTGACCTTAGTGATTGGTGGAGCCAGAAGTCTCTGCTACTTCAGTAGGATCATTTATATTTCCTCCACTAGGAGTTTTAATCTCATGTCCCTTATTGAGTATCTTGTCATTCTTCACTTGTTCAACCAAGGTAATACACCCAGCCATCGTCTTATCCGTCCGGTCTCTAATTTCGTGTACTACCCTAGCAAGCCGATTCTTAGCTTCTTGAAGCTGCCCACTAGGAGCCTTTGTCTTTTCCTTACTCCTCAAGTATCTCTGTCTCCACTTCAGGAATTCTAGTAATCTAGGCATCCACAATTACCCTCAGTTTTGGAATATCCTCTCGAACTACCCCTGTTTCTTCGGATAGCCATCTCCAGTCGTTGAACCCTGTAACACTCTGTTATTTGGGTACGAGTAAGTCCTCTAGTAATCACATAGGGTCCTAGTTCAGCCAGTTGGATTATATCTCCAATGAATTTTTCCTAGGCATTTCTCAATAACGGATCACCGGAAGGCGTCTCCGAGACGGTTCAATACCACCGTTACCTTCCGTAACTTATAATTAAAATTAAAAGCTTAAATGAGTCCAAGTATACTGAATAAACTAGATTTGGTCATCTCATACTGTGACAGCCCCACCTTCCCCTAAGGCGAACCAAAGGATTCGCCGGACCGCCTGCCCAGCTTTTGCCGGGACTCACTCACTCACTACAGTTTTCAAATAAATTACATCACTCACATCCAAGAACATAGAGTACAACCTCAATAATAAGCGAAATAACATTTCCCACGCTTAGCGTATACTTATAGACATTCAAATCTCACCAATTACAACTACAATATCAGTCCCAAATATTACATTGAATATTCATCAAGTGAATTGAATTCAAACGGTACAGGAGACAATTCATCCAGTCATACTAATAACTCATTACACTCGCTTCCTTTGCCTCGAGCCCTGTGGAGGGGAAAAATATTTTGGAGTGAGCTAGAATCTCAGCGAGTAACCAGTAAAATCAGAAATCAAATAAGCTTCACAACATTGCATGTAAATGATGTTATGAATCAGTGATCAAATGTACGTATTTTGCTCTCGTGAACCAGTGAAGTCATTGTACTTAGAATTCCAACGCTCAAATAGATCAATGAACAGTCAAATAGCAAAAGGGAGCCATCATGGCTCCAGGTAAACAAGGGTGGAGATGTTGGTTCTAAGCACAAGATTTTCAAGAACTGAATGGAGCCAAATCATGTCATAGCACATACACAAACACAAATGATATGCAATCGAGTAACCAATGCAAGAATTAAGTCGAAAAGTAACTTTGCAAATAGTTTGGAGATCACTCACCAACCATGCTTGTAACGACCCCACCTCCCCCTAAGGCGTACCAGAGGGTTCGGCGGGCCGCCTGCCCAGCTCTCGCTGGGACTCAGTCGTTCGCTACAATCCTCAATTAAAAATTGAAATAAATCACAAGAATAAATAGGGCATTGATCCAAACTTAAAGCGGAACTTATATACATTGCCAACCCAAAAGAGAATATAAACATCAAATATACAAGGGTTCTCAATCCTTCATACGTCCAGCCCGTGCCAAGCACTAGGCGAGAACCACTACAAAAGAAAAAAAAAAAGAAACAAAACTAGATTGGCTAGTCTATCTCAAGCTCACGTCCTCGCTCGCCTTCCCCTGTAAGGAAAACAAAACTAAAGGAATGAGCTAAAAGCCCAGTGAGGTTCCGAACACATAATCAGATAATCAATCCAATACATTAAACATGGAGTATCAATAACTCAAGAAACATTTACAATGGAAAGCGATAGTAACACATTCATTAAAAGGATACGGCTCACAAGGAGCAATTCGTTATTTCGTTCATTCGTTCTCCTGACATTTCCCCTTATTCCTCCAATCATTTGAAAATGCATTTTTCGTTTATCAATAAACCCTCGTTCATTCGTTCGTTCATTCATTCATTCATTCACCCCCGTCCTGGCCGTTGGCCAGTCTCCACCAACCAACAGGGTAATACTCGAGTATACCAAACGTTTACCCAAGTCCCTAATCGCCCGACCGAGTCCGCTTCTGGCTCGAGACGACCGGTAACAAGGGGCAATGGCCAGTTCAGCCCAAAAGGCTTACATTCATGCTCAAGTAACATTTCAATCATTAAATCCTTGAAAATTGCACAGTTATTTAGGTCGAGTGCGATAAAGTACACACTCGCCTAGAAAGCTCGTTTTGGAAATCATTAAAAGCACTTAACACATTAGCAAATGATAACAACAAGCCATAGAATCAAATAAGGAACACTCACCTAGAAATGCAAAATATCGTGCAAAATATCCTTCCGGATATTACCCTTAATCACCAATGAAACCTAAGGTTGAACAAGAGAACATTATTATAGTTTATCGAGCAAAACATTTAAGGGAAACAAAGAAACCCGACTAATTAAGAGTAAAACGTGTAAAGATGACTTTCAAGTAAGAAGAGGGTTGTTTGAACCCAAGGATGAAAAATCATGTTTTAAAATGGAAAACCGGTCATGGTATTGGCCTAACAAAAGTATACAAGTTCAAATAGAAACCTAGCCCTCGGGCGAAAATTTGGGCAGCACGCCCTTTGTGTTTAACTAATTTTTCAGCCATTTTGGCTTCATTATTTTTCCTCAACCACAACCCAACATCACACATAAGCAATTCAAGTCAAGAGCCATTCCATAGGCTCACAATATCATAAGAATAAGAAATACAGTAATAACAAGTGCATAAATTCAATTTAGCAAAAGACAGATTTGACGTATGAAAACGGAAATAACTTATCCGAGGCTACGCTTATCCGATTAAGACGCAACCTATGCCATTTAGAAGCTAAGACTCAGGGCTACAATGTTCATGAAGGTCACATAGTCCAGTTTCTAATGTAACTTGGTCAAATTCTCGAATTACTAAACCAGAAATCAATTCGTCGGCTGTTTAAACGCAGAACACTGTAATGGACATAACTCAGAGTACACAACTCCGAATCAGGTGTTCTTAGAGGCATTTGAAAGCTAATTCAGACTGGTACAACTTTCATGTTTTGGTGAAACACTAAATCAGAATGGATCCTAGTCAAAAAACGGGATAAACTGGACTTAACTGATCACACGGACTGCTTAGGAAATACTTAAAATAGTAAGGGTATTTTGGACTTTTCACGTCCTACGTTGCTCCGATTGAGCTAAAAATTTTTAGGCACATATAAAATGCCATTCTCTACAACTTTTATTCTTTGACCTAAGGCCAAATCGACCTCTAACATACAGATATAAATTCGGACAGAAAGTTGGGGAAATTTTCCAGATTCTGGAATTTTGAGTTTCTAGTGCAACTTTCCTTAATTTCTTGGTCTAATCCCTACCACAACACCTTATAACACTTCAATTGCAACATATAAGCATCATACAACAAATTGGGCAGAATTTCCCCAAACCCTAGTTCATGAAATAAAAAGGGGAAAACTACTAAAACATGATAATCATCCATGATTCCACCACAAAATCAAGTTGCTAAACTTTTTTTTTTTTTAAATATTCATTTATTCAAGATGTGAACAAACCAAATACAAGATAATTGAAGGATTATTCCCCCTACTGAGCCACTAGTCTAAAAGACGGGATTTGGGCAGCATCCATAGCAATACAACCTCGCACCTCCCTAGGAAGCTGCAGATGCGAATCAAAAACTTGATTGATACCCCCTTGTAGAGCAGCTAGCCTATCTGCCACCCCATTTGCTTCTCGGAATATGTGAGTAAACGACATAGCCACTTGATCCAAAAGGCGCCGAATCCGCCGCAGCACATTACATAACAACCAGCCTCCCTGAGCCGAAGAGTTGACTAACGATACGAGTACTGCCGAGTCCACCTCCACTAGAATCCCTCGTAACCCCTTTGCCGCACATATAAGGAGCCCCTCTAATACTGCTAGAGCCTCTGCCTGCAGAACTCCTTTTTCCCCAAACTCCTTGTAAAAGGCCAGGATAACCCTACCAAAAGAATCCCGGAGCACTCCTCCTCCACTTGCCCTCCCGTTGACCACACTAGCATCCGTGTTTAATTTGTACCGCAGGGGCGGTGGCTTCTCCCAAGTCACCAGCACTGGACGTCTTTTACGAGTTCCGTCGGACACGAAGCGTGCCCATACACAGTCCCGGTCGCCGTTGAACTGTGCCTTGTCCAACTTTTTTGCTCTTCCCAAGTCATGCAAGAAATTGCTCACCTCAACAATGACCTTCCGAGCCGAAAAAGCCTATCCTTCAAACCTTGCCTTATTCCTTCCCTGCCATATAAACCATGTTACCACCAGCGGGAGTACACACCGAATATGATGAGTGGGGATGCGTATCAGCGATGTGGCCCATTCCCTCCATAAGAGCTGAATATCATCCGACGGCAAGTGAATAATGCCAAACATACCTGCAAAATGCCCCCAAACCTCTCTTGCCACCGGTCCATTGAGAAGAGATGTGGCAAGGTTTCTGCCTCCTCCAGGCAGCAGGAGCACCTGGACACCACGGGCAGCCCTCTTCTACGCATCACCGAATCCAAGGCCACAAAATTGTTCATCAGCCGCCAAGCAAAAAATGATATTTTCAATGGTGTACCTTTATTCCAAATCATCCCAGCCAAAGTTAAACCGCCCCGACGTTGCCGGCACAGCTCCCAAGCCGAGTTTAAAGAAAAAAACCCGGTCGCCGACTTCGCCCACAGGATTTGATCATGCCCATCCAAGTCGAATGGAGTCTCCACTATGACATCCACCAAATTACCCGGGAGCCAGCGAAGTAGTCGGTCCCTATTCCATCCTTCCCGCCCCAAAAACTCAGCCACCAAAAAGTGCGGCCTGTCTCCATCTGTTGGAACCAATGCATATAAGGGGCCCAGCTCACACCAAGTGTCCAACCAGAAATCTACCATTCCTGGTCCCAGACTCCATGTGATCTGTACCTCCACCAACTCGCGTATGCCGATTAGCCGTTTCCATGTCCCCGACGGGCGAGCCACCTCCGCCTGCAACGGATGTCGGTCCCCAATGTACTTAGAATACATGAAGTCCGACCATATGGAATCCCTTTGGCGTAATCTCCACCACAGCTTATAAGAGAAAGCTTTGACCATATCTTCCAACAACCTGACCCCCAATCCACCCTCCTCTGTGGGAAAGCACAACCTCTCCCAGGACGCCCAGTGCGTACGTTTAGCGTCGTGGGATTTATCCCATAAGAAGGAGTTGAAAATTCGACCCAAGGCCACTAAGACTGCCTTGGGGGGCTTAAGCACTTGTAAAAGGTATAGAGGCATCGAACTCAAGACGTGCTTTGTAAGAATTAATTTCCCCCCCATAGATAACAACCTCGCACTCCAGTGGTAGACCCGCGCCCTCACCTTTGCGATAATCCCATCGAAATCAACAATGGAACTCCGACCCCGGGAAATGGGGACACCAAGATAGACCAGCGGGAAAAATTGCCGCTGGAACCCCAGTATACGAGTCACCAACTCCACTTGTGCCGCCGACACCCCAGACGAGCACACAAAACCACTCTTCGACACATTGATCTTCTGTCCAGAGTATTGCTGGTACTGCTTGAAGAAGGCACTAATCGCTTGTAAAGTCTCCCGTGAAAGCCTGGTGAAAATAATGACATCATCAGCGAACGCCAGATATGGTACCCGCATTCCTCCTGCCTGAAAAAACCTGTGTCGACCTTGCCGAAACAAGGAGTAGAGGCCCTTGCCAAAATACTCTGTAACTAATACAAAGAGCCCCGGGGAGATTGGATCCCCCTGTCTGACCCCCCTCGTCGATTTGAAAAATCCAGCCGGCTCCCCATTTACAAGCACAGAAAACCAGTTATTTGCGACCAAACGAAATAGTAAATCCACCACTGGCTCCTGGAAGCCAAACGATCTAAGCATGAATAGGAGAAAGGACCACTCAACTCTGTCATATGCTTTTTCCATATCCAGTTTTAACATGAGGTTCGGAGCCTCCAACCGACGGTCCAAATCCTTTGCATGCTCCTGCGTCACAAGGATATTATCCATTATTTGGCGCCCCGGCACAAAGCCCGACTGCCAAGGAGAGATCAGGCGGGGAAGGAGCTGATTCAACCTATTGGACACTAGCTTAGAAATAATCTTGGAGCTAACGTTACATAGGCTGATGGGCCGAAAGTCCTGCCACTGAGAAGCCCCCTGAAGTTTCGGTATTAACACGATTGACGTACTTGTCACCCCTTTTGGTAGCCATCCCCCTTTAAAATAATCCTGTACTGCAGCCACCAAGTCCTCCTTAATTATCTCCCAACATGCCTGATAGAAACCTGATCCAAAGCCGTCTGGCCCAGCAGCACTATCTGGACATATCGAGAATACCACATCGCGCACTTCAATTAATGTTGGCAGTGCCAGTAGCTTCTCATTATCCCCTAAAGTCACCTGTGGGAGGTCAAAAGGCAGCACGGGATGCCGATCAGTACCCCTATCTGAACTGAACAAAGACTCGAAGAAAGATACTGCCGAACTCTTGATGTCCTCAACCTGAGTAAGCCATTGCCCTGTCGGACCCCGAATCCTAGAGATGTAATTTGAGGCCCTCCGTTGCCGAACCACCGCATGGAAGAAAGTCGTATTCGCGTCCCCCTCCTGAATCCATTTGATCCTCGATTTTTGACGCCAAAAGCCACACTCAACGGCCAATTGATGCATATACGTCGCCCGCGCCTCATGATAAGCAATCTTTGACGCCACTGTCCTCTCCGTGTCATACTGCAATTCCGCGGTCCGCATTTCCTTTTCTAAGTCCGCCACCCGGTTTCCAATATGTCCAAAAACTTCCTTATTCCATACCCTCAGCTTGTCCCGCACCCCTAACAACTTTCTATAGAACCCTGACATCGTATGCGAAGGGCCTCCCCTTCCCCATGCTTCCTGAACAATCCCAAGAAAGGAATTATGTCGAGGCCACACATTGAGGAACCTGAATGATGATGTCCCTTTCCTTCCTGACCCACATTGGATTAGTAGGGGAGCATGGTCAGACCGCCCCCGCGCCAAATGTACCACTCGGGAAACTGCAAACTGTTCAGCCCACTCCCTGTTAACCAACGCCCGATCTAAGCGCTGCCACACCCTCCCGTTTGTCCAAGTGTATTGAGGGCCGTCGAATTCCACCGAGGTAAGATCACACTTAAACAGAGTGTGATTAAACTCCTCCATGTTTCTTGCATTCGGTGGTGCGCCCCCAAGCCGCTCTGAGGCCTCCGCAATGATATTAAAATCCCCAGCCACCATCCAGGGCCCCAGTCTTGACGCGGCCAAATTCTCCATGGCCCCCCAGAGTGGATGTCTAGCAACTCTGGTGCAGCGGGCATAGATTGCAGAGAAGAAAAACGAACCAGCAGAAGAGCTAATCACCATGTCCACTAGCTGATCAGCTAGCGAGCTAAAAGAGATGTTAAAGACAAGGTCCCACTCTGGAAGTAAAACTTAATTTCACAAGATTGAAAGTAAAACTTGGAGAGATAAGCTCTCTTACCTTGACTAGAGGTCACTAAGAGTAGCCCAAGCTTTCTCCTTCAAAAACTCACCACAACTCACTAACTAGTCACTCAAGAACAAGTTTAATCGGTTTATTTTGTTTGATTTCTTCCTAAGTTGTTGGATTGAAGATGAAATGAAATGTTTTCCTTTGGTGTTTTCCCTCTTCTCTCTCTCGGCCAGCAGCAGCAGAAATAAGGGGTAAAATGCTGAATTTTGGTGCTTAAATGGATGATAATTGTCTTGGGTCAAGAAGCCTTAAGGTGGCGACAAGTGTCGCCACCACCACCTTTCTTTCTTTTCTCTTTCTCTTGTTATTTCCTAGCCTCACATTCGGTCAAGCTTGTTGCCAAGAGAGAAGATATTTTGCTCAAGTTCAATAAATTTTTTTGGTAAGGAAAAATGGTGGTTAAGCAGTGCGTTCAATCGGTAGTGCGCGAGACCCGCCGGTTCGCGCCGTTTTTCTTAAAAACTCACGTACTAGGGTTTTTACTTCCCATTCACTAACCTTATATCATTGCCACTAGTCACATATTATTTCTCACTTAAAAGTCACTTTTAATCCCCAAATTAATTCTTACTCTGTACCGAAAATTCATTCGGCGGAAAATCGCGAAAACCCTAATTTCGCTCCAAACTTGAAACCGAAGCGTAAAACCCTATTTTCTAGGTTTATCTACACTTAATGTGAAATATTTGGGTAGTGGCCTTTGATAAATACTAATTTTCAAATAAAAGGAAATTTTTGAGGAAAAATACAAGGAATTTGCGAGTCCTCACAATGCTTATGAACCTCATCCATCATATATCATTGCCTTACTCAAGTCCAAACCCTAGATCACACATATCAAGTCAAGCAAAGGAAATTCTAAAAACAACAAGTTCCTATTACCTTTTGGCATTTTAATCATAATTGAGGCTACTGTAGACACCAAATTTTTTATTTTTCAACTCTGTTTATTTAATTGATTTAAGTTTAGATTTATGTGTTCAATTTTTAGGTTTTTTTAGTTTATTTATTTTTAGGTCTTTTACTTTATTTTATTCTAGTTTATTTTGGTCCTTATACTAAATTGCAGAAAAAAAAAGAAGAAAAAAAAGAAACTTGACAAGTGGAAACTTGCATGTGGGACAAGTGTCCCTTCTTATTTGCTAACAACACATCACTTGGGTGGCAAGGGGAGAAGACACTTGTAGGATAGAGAATTTTGGAAAGAAAAAGAAAAAACAAGAAAAAAAGGACAAGGGCAAGAAAACAGGGGGGAGAGGAACCGAGATAGAGGGTAGGGGGCGGCTGAAAGGAGAGGTTTTGGGGGTTAGACAGACAAGAGAGAAATCAGGGAGCTAGAGTGAGGGCGGCAGAAGGAAAAGAGAGAGACCGAAAGAGGAGCTATCGGGCATTGAGAACAAAAAAACAGAAAAAACAGAGGAAGAAGAAAAGAGAGCCGAGAGGAGAGGTTTTAGGGGGTCGGATGAAAAGAAAAGGAGGAGAGCAGGATCAGGGGGAACAACTGGAGTGGGAGCTACGAAAAGGCTAACGGAAAATCTGGAAAAGCGAATGGAAAAGAGTAAGGCTTCGGCTGGGCTAGGAGCTGGAGAGAACAAAAAGATAACAAAAAGAGTGAAAAAAGGGTTTCGGGGGGGGGACAGAAAGCTCCGAAGAAATGAAGGAAAAGGGAAGAATTAAGAAAAAACAGAGAAAGGAAATCTGAAAAAAGAAGTATGGAAGGAGGTCGGCTGAAAAATCAAGAAATAAAAGAGACAGCGGCTGAAAATCGTTCTTGGACGACTTACAATTACCGTCGCCGACCGCTTCCTCATCGCTAGCCGCCGATCACCCCAACCCAAACCCTGCGATGCTCAGGTCAACGAAGCCATCGCTGTCGGCTGCTGCCGATCATACCATTATCAACTTCATGGTCCAGCAGCAGCAGATGATTGCTGCCCGCCAGACGCTTTCTAGTGCTCCGCCACGCTGCCACCTCTGCCACCGCAGCCGTCGAAGCAGCAGAGGCTTCTACTACCACCTCACCGTCAATGCATCACCACCGCCTGCAAATGTCACCAAGAAAACACTAGGCAAGGTCTGGTTGGACCCCAATGAAGGCAACGAAATCTCCATGGCCGATTCCAGAATGAAGGAGACGAAGAGAAAGGGACGCCATTCTGGATACGGTAAGTTGTCCCTTTTCTTTCAAATTTCATTCCTTCCTCAAGCTCCCGGAACCTGTTTTTTTTCCATGCCTTGGTTTGTAGCAATTTCCTGTCGACTATTTGTGAATTTGGAGTATGTATGTTATACATAATGATTGGAATTGAAATCCTTGGTTTGCTGACAAATTTTTGGGCTAGTTATACTTCAATTCGAGCAAAAAATCTGGTGAAATTTTAATGCCTATTTCCTGTTCGATGAAATGCTTGTTTGAAAATTTAATTGGAAGGTAGTTTATCTGCATTTGCGGGTGGGGAAAACAAATGGTCAGTGAAGTCCATGCTTGTCCGAATAATTGTTTTTTTTATGAAAAAGTAGAGTTAGAAGAATTTCGTTTTCTTAGATTTCCTTTTGCACGAACTTGATTTAATGGCATGAATTTGAATGAGATGAGATTCGTGTGAGTTGGAATTTGAATCTTCGAACGTTCTTCCTCTACAAAGAAAGATAGAAATGGTAGATTGACGTCTGATCCGTTGGGGGAGAAGACCTTTTGGTGTAAAACTGCAATTTCAGTCCCTCCATTTTTATTTTGTTTTGTAATTCACCTCCAGAATTTTCAGAACTCAATAATTCGCCCCAAACCTTTCATAATTCTTTCAATTAAGTCCCTGGTTTTTGCTACATTGGAACCCCCCTCGAATTGAACCTTTCATAATTCTTTCAATTGAGTTTTTTTATTTATGGGTTTTAATCATCTTTTTATATCTTAATTAGTTTGTTCTTGTAGATCAACGTTAGTTTTAGATCATAATTGGGGTTTAATAATTTTAGTTGAGTTGCTAATTTGTTGATATTTTGGATTAGAGGGATGTTTTGTTTGGATTTTTGATAATGGGCTTCGTTCTATTTATTTTGGGTTTATGATCCGGGCTAGGTATGCTAAAGTCCACTCTTTTGGTTGGATTTGATAAATGGATTGATGACTTTTTTTTTGGGTCTTTATACATGGGCTTGAGGGGCAAAGGCCATATATTTTAGTGGGGCTTTGCTTGGATCTAAAGTAGGCTGGCCTGCTTGTTTTGTTGGGACTTTCGTTTGGATTTGGGAAGCTTGGGCCCAAACAAATAGAGGAAATGGCCCAATGGTTTGGTCCATTAAGAAACCAAAAAATGATTTTGCACATCAGTCCCTGAATTTCTCTTTAACTGTACTGCGGCCCTGGACATTTTCAACTTCTTTCAATTGGGTCCCTAACTTAATTGCAAATAGACCCCTGAACTTTATTTTTCTTCAAATTTTGACCCCAAAGCTTTGTTAATTTTTGCAATCAAATCCTTTCTTCTTTTGACCTCTTAAATGTGGGTTGTCTACATGATTTAATTGATTCAATTTCATGTTTACTTTTATCTTTTTGTGATTATTTCTTGATTAAAGTGATGCCTTGACTCTTTTATTATTTTGGAGGGCAAATAAGTGGTTTCACTCAATTGGGACCCCAATTCAAGGGAGGTATAACTTCTTTTATCCTTTTTGCCTCTCTTATGTGATCCAACGTGCTAAGTGAGAATTGCATGTCTAATTTGCTTTCTTTACCTTTCTTTAATTCCTTTATTTCATTTACTTTTACTTTTATTAAGTCATTCTTTTATTTATGGGGTATGTGTACACCTCTTGGCTTGTAATAGATAGGGCTTGGAGGAGCATTTGATGAAGACCTATTGAAGACGTGTGCCTAGCTAGCAAATGTAATAGGTTTATTAGTTTGGTTGTTTGCTTTTGTTGCTATGTGTTAATTTGCTTTATTAGGCTCTTGCATCTAGTCGAGCATGTTAAGTGTTATGTGCTACGTGTTTATAGGTGATTTGCATGTCTACTTGCTTTCCATAGCCATGAATGAATGTGATGGATGAATGTACGTTTCCACTAGTCCAACGCTAGTAGGAATTCATAGAATGGGCTAGTCCAACGCTAGACCCTTAGGGATTTCTCTCGTGAGTCCATACGTGCATGTTTCATTTTATTTCATGCATTTTTCTTAGTTTTCTAGCATTTAGCATGTTCCTCCGATCCTTTCCCTTTCATTTTAGGTTTTGCATATTCATACTAGTTATAGGGACATTTGCTTGACGAGTCTCCTTTCGATAAGGGAAACGAGCGAGTGTGGCTCCAAAAGAGCCTTAGCACGCTAGTTCTCCTTTCTAATCAAAGGGAAAATTAAAGTCACAAAGTTAGGAGTCCCCGTACCCAACTTGATGCATTCCTCTAGGTTCATATATTCTCATACCATTTCCTCACCTTTTTATCCACATTTTTCACTACTTATACCTTTTTAAATTCAAATGACATGTCTCGCACATTACACTTATTTACTACTATCATACCCTATTTTCATCTATTTGCACACAAACATTCTTACTTTCTCACTTGGCACACGTACACTTTCCTTACATGTGCACACATGCACCATATCACTCGCACACATGCACTTTACGTTATTTTCACATCATCATTCTTTACTCACCTTACCTTGTAAATACATTTGCACACTTCCACTTACACACTCTTGTTTTTATCATTTTTTTCACTTCACACAAACTCACATTTTCACATGGCATGCATTCATTTCACTCATTTTTTTTTCATTTAGGATTATGTGTGACCTCTCCAAAGGGTTATTATTGGGCTTCACAATTAATGTGATTGGCACCACTCAACCTTTGAAGAG